CTTTTTTTTTAAACAAAGTTTTTATTTTTTACAACAAACATACGAACAAAACATAAAAACATAAAACCCTCTTTCAATTATATACATACAGTGTGTCAGTTGGTTACAATCTTTTGTCCTATCCTGTTTTTACCATTACTCACAAGTTATATAAATTCTCACCTTATCGATCTAGCTTATGCTTATATAATATCAATTATTAAACATTCATTTGACTATTTTTCCATCATTTTATATGAGATATTCTAATTTTCATTATGATTAATCTTATACATTTATACTGTATTCTGTATCAATCTGTTGACTTTTATTGTAAGGCTTACTAATCTATTTCTTTACCATGTCTTTTTATCTAACCATTGATAAAATAAATCCCACATCATATAAAATTGTTTATCCTCTTCTTCTCTAATTTCAAATGTCAATTTACTCATTTCAGCAGAGTCCATGATTTTCTTAATAATTTCCTCCTGCCTAGGTATTTTTTCATTTTTCCAATTCTTAGCAAATACAATTCTAGCCGCTGTTAAAACATTTGCAATCAAATATTTCAATTCTTTACAATATATTTCCGGTATAATTCCCAATAAAAATATCTCAGGTTTAAAGTCTATGTGTTGTTTTGTCATTTTTTCCAACCATGTGTGGATTGTAGTTCAATATCTTTTTGCATCCGAGCATGTCCACCACATGTGGTAATATGAACCAGGTATCTGATGACATTTCCAACATTTATCCGATTTATTCTTGAACATCCTGGCAATTCTCATCTGGGTAAGTGCCACCTGTAAAACATCTTATATAAATTTTCTATATATGCAGTTGACATTGTCATTTTACAATTTTGAGACCACAATTTTTGCCATTTATTTAAGTCAATCCCATATCCGAATTTTTCCCCCCACGCAATCATTGTTTCCTGTACTTGTTCTTCCTCTAATTTAAACTCTTGCAAATGTTCATAAAGTTTTTTGATTACTTTTTCATCAGTACCTGTCAAAATTTTATCTAAATCAGTCAACTTATCATAGATACCTTGTGTTTTAACATCTTTATCAAATCTAGATTGTATTTGCAAATATGAAAACCAATTCATTTTTACACCTTGTTCTTCCAACGCTTGCATAGATTTCAGTTCACCCTTTTCATTCAATATCTCACCATATCTAACTGTTTCTTCCTTTTTATATATTATTGGATAGGAAAAAGCTTCAATAGTAGATAACCATAGTGGAATTTTTAAATAATATTGCTTTTTTATCTTCTCCCAGTTTAGAAACAATGCTTCTCGAATATAATCTCTCCTAAAATACCCCTGCATTTTAGTTCCCTTATACCAGAGGAAGGCATGCCATCCAAGTCATGTCCTTCTAAATTCAAAAGTCTAGTATTCCTTAGTGTTATCCACTCCTTTACCCACATCAGACTCCTCGCTTGGTAGTATAATTCCCAATTGGGCAAAGCAAATCCTCCTCTTATTCTTGCATCTTGTAGCAATTTCAGTTTTATTCTGTACTGTATTTTAGCACTATTTTGTTTAAATCTTCAAAAAATTCTTTCCCTAATCTGATTGGAATTGTCTGGAATAAGTATAAGATTCTAGGCAATACATTCATCTTAATTGTAGATATTCTCCCAATCAGTGATAATTGTAAATTTTCCCATTTTATCAAGTCTGTCGCAATCTGTTGTTTTAAGTTTGAGATAATTGTCCTCCTTAAGTGTGCTACATCTTGGTGTTATATGTATCCCTAAATACTTAACCTTTTGTGACCTGGATCCCCAAAACTTCCAATTCTTTCTTTCATCTTACTAACATGTTCTTTGCTAAAATCTTTGTTTTATCTTTATTTTCAAACCTGCTACTTTCTCATACTCTTCTTTCTTTTCTATCAGTTTAGGTGCTGACTCCAATGGATCCTCTAATATAAATACCAGGTCTTTTTTCTACTTCTAACTATTGTCTCTAAATCTTTCTTTTATATTAATTCATTGTTTCTTGTTTATCATTTTCTATCATCCTTTGGCTTTTTCCCTTAATCCTTCCTCCATTTACCATCATTTTCTGATATTTTCTCTCCCATTTCTCAAACTCCCCCCTCTTAGATCTCCACTGTGTATCTCCGTAACCATTTCATTTATCAGCATTCCAGTCTCACTATCCCCCCTCTTATTTATTATATCCATCATTAATATCTCATATTCAGCTTCTTTTTTCTTCTTGTGTTATTTGTTGTTCCTTTTGATCCATTTCACTGCTTTCTCTTTCTTCTAACTCTTCCCCTGTCTTTGTCCCTCCTCCTCCTCCTCCTCCTCCTCCTCCTCCTCCTCC